AAGAGAGGGGTGGGTAAAAAAAGGGGGCAGTCAGCAAGGCAGTGATTTTTTCAAGAAAAATAATGAATGCAGCTGGCAGGAGAAACTTCTTGCACAAGTTCAGGGCAAGAGGCTAACTTTGTTAGAACTACTAACATTTCCCAGGAATGCATGTTTACTGTAGTGAGGTGTTTAAAGTAAGGAACATCAATAAAAGGCAAAGTAAAAGCTGACAGGGAGGGGTTTTGCTCCACATTCCAAGCAGACTGCTTCAGAACATTTGTTTCAGGAAGGTTTTAACATCCCTGACACTCTGGCAATGAAACTCACAGTCCTACAGTGTTTGCTACATCTTGTGGGGTGGATGTGCAGTATTCAGAACCTACTAGAAGCACCAAGGAAAAGCCCATGTACATACTGAATGGGAATGCCAGTCCATTCTTCTCTATAAGCTGCAAGGTATCTTCTCCACAGGCACTTGTCAGCTCCATAAAGGGTGGTGAACAGATTCTCTCATCTGCAAGACAAAAAAAGATTTAAATTGAGATGAGGGGTTTAGCTTCTCAACTGGATCGTTACCAGCTGTTTTCACACTAACTGCTTCTTGATAGTCAGCTTTACTTCAACAGTTGATATTAAAACAGCAGAAAGACTATCAGCCAGGCCTAAATTTGGGTTTCTGGAAACATTTCAGAAGACGAAAGGCCCAATTTTCAGATAATTTAATGGAAATACAGCCTGTATTTTCACAGTTAGGCAGCAAAAACAATCATCCACTTTGGAATATGTAGCTGCACAAGACTTAGCTAGTGAGGTGAAAAGCAATTGGCATCTTAGCTCTTAACACTATGCCTTCAAGCATAATTTTCTAAACCATTTTATAAAAACCTGAATGGTCAGCAAGTATGGCTGGAGTAGGCAGTCTCACAAAACCATCATTATTGTAGGGCCCCTCAGGTGGCAGATTCCAGTTTGGATTCATTTCAGACAAGGTGCCAGCTGTGTCCCACATCCCACTGTCCACTGAGACCGCTCTGCCATGAAAGCTGTGCTCATTTGTTCTGGCAAAGCCAGTCAGAGCACTGCTGAGACACTGAGACACCTTGGCAAGACTGCTCAGTTAAAGAGCAAAAAACACGGGAAACCACAGTGAAATTCAACAGAGTAGGTCTGCTCCAGGGTGTTTCTGCTGATGTGCTTGTTCATATGAGGTTGCAGGAAGGCTGGAGTCAAAACCCAGCCCTGTTAGGGACTCAGTATGTTGTATTGCTCTAGGATTCACGTTCTGTTCACTGTAGAACACTGATTCCTCTAGGAATGCAGCACAAAAGTGAGAAAGCACTGTAAGACTTAAAGTACTTGAGCACAAATATCCGCTGCTCAAGACGGCTGGCTTGTAATTTCAAGTGCAAAGAGAACTCTGGCTTCAGTCATGGCTCTGAGACAGGTCAGTGAGCCCACAGACTTTCAGACAAAAGCTGTGGACACATTGACAAAGTCAAAGCAAGAACATCCCCCTAAGTAAGAGCAACCATCCAACTTAACTCCTCAGTGAGCACAGTCTTAAAAATACTGCCTCCATGGAGTCTTAGCTATGGCCAGGTTAACTTTGGAGTCGCAAAAAAGTTATCACTTGAGTTAACTGCACAGTACTGAACTGCAATTCAAAACAGGTCTGACCAAACTCATGTCTAGGACTTATTTCAAGAGAAACAGTGGGACATCTTCCTCCAAGAAGCAACTGTAAACCAGCAAAAATGATGAGAGCAACTGTATCTGGCAAACTCAAGTCACAGATTTACATCAACCAGCAACCTGTCTTGAAAAGTAAGCAAAACGTGACTCTTATTACAATTCACATCTTAAGTACAGAGAATCCAAACAGGTGGAGGCTATGCTGTACAGATGGTGCAGAAACTGAAAAGTACATATAAACTAAACTAAAACTGCAGCAAAACTAACCACATACTCTGAGAAAGCCATGCACCCAGAAACCACTTCATAAGCATCACTGATTAACGCTTTTCACTTCAAGTCTACATTTATGCATGTTCCCTCACACAAAAGAGACAATTGAATCACTGAAAATTAGAGAAGTAAAACTCTGTATTTTGATATACATATCTCAATACATGTTTCAGTGCTCTGAGGATATATAAGAACCCTGGCCATCAGCAATATTGTTGCTACGAGAAGTCTTCTGGAAAAAAAAAAAAAAGACGACTACTTTCATAGATCCTAAAAGGAGCAGAAAGATTGATGCTTTGAGGTCAGCCTCTACGAAGCTAAACAAAACATCCCAGACTTCAAAGCTTTCAGTTTGCTGCAACAAAAACAGAGAGCGGCATCCAAAAGTGACAGGTACTGTAATATTTACAAGCCTTTGACAGAGAGAAAGTTCCTTAGTTGGATGAATTTAAGGAATCAGATTTAGTTTACAGATACTTGGGAACAACTTTGGCTTGGCAGCTCTCCCACCCATATGCTGAAGGTTCACGAATAACTTTTCCTTCAGAGTGCGGATGCAGAGGGATGTACGGTTCCATCTCACTTCCCTCCATTGCTCTCCCATGTAATAGGAACAGGAGGCAGGGAGGATTTTGCTGATTACATGACACTTGCATGGGGAGATGAAGGAAGAGGCAAACTAATTTCTTTGACTGTGCTTAGAAAAGACCACCTGGATCAACAAAAACTAGCAGAGAAGACTCTCAGCATCTCAAAGCGCTCCTGCTGACTTTGCACAGCACTGGCATTTTCTCCACCAATTCTAGTCCACTGAAGCTTCTGAAATAGACCATTAATTCACAGCTAGACCTGAGGACAAAAAAACCTTTGCTCAACCCAAGATTTCAGTACGGCCTACAACTACAAAGCTGCTGTTCTGAGGTTAACTGCACAGAGTGCAATTCTGGAGTTAGCTGTAGGTTTAAAAAGCCCTCCAGCTGCCAGTGATGATCCTCTCCTCCTTCCCAGCGTGGCAAACACATGCTGAAGCTTTCTCTCATCACCAACCTCCTGCTATCAGAGTGACAGCAGTCTCAGGACACCTACTCTGCACTGAGGTCCAGGACAGATCTAATTCAATGGCTGAGGGTCAATCTCAGTGCTGTTTTACATCAGCATGGAACTACACCATACAATCCACAAAGTGCAAACGAACACCCAGTGGTACACTGAACCCTCCCCTCTCCTCCTGCCAAGGTAAGCTGCTTTAGCAGGATTGTACTGAGCTGGGGTCAGGCACTGGACCCTTGGCCACTGTCACTGCTTCTTCACAAACCAGTGGTGACCAGTCACCATGGGAAACCATTGACTAAAGGGACAACAATAAATATGCAAACAAATAAACGTAATAGTCTAGAGGTGAGAATGGGCGATATGAGTCTGGTTCTCACCACTGACACTACAGGCTAACCCTCCAGTCTAAAACCAAGCAATATTTTCATTCGTATCAGAGAGCCTTAGTGAGGAGGAAGCACTTTTATAAAAGCAGTCTGAGAACTACTAAAGTATGAGGCCACAGCTATGGCATGCCTCCCACGGAGCTGCATTAGCCATGCACCGCTAGCATAAGTGACTCCGTATACGGGTCAGGAGACAGAGCTGATACAACACTGAACCTGTGCAAGGAGCTCACGCTGCTGCTCTTCTACCATCAAAACTCAGCTCCGAGCTGTGCCTTGGGATGCCACTGACTGGAAGACTTCTTCTAAAAGAGCAAGTTTGGAGAAGACTCTGCCTCATCTTCCATCCTTGGCTATATATAAGTCCCCTTAGCTCCCAAGAGATTAGCACAAATGCAATTTCTATGTTTTCCACTTTGGATCTGAAACTAAAACTCAGGCACTTCCTCCCTGCCTTTGGGTTACATACACTGAATCCCATGGTAAACAGTTAACCATAATCATTAATGCTATCTTTATGGAGCCTTTGCTGAATGCAGGAAAAATCTCTCCATAAGTCAAAGGACTGTTGTGATATAAGGGACCATACGTTTTCACAGGGCACACTTAGAGAGTGGTATTTCTTTCTTTTTCCGAAGCCTGGTGGTCTCTCAGAGACCTGCTTTTGAAATACAGTCAGGACTCCAGGGTGGACCATGTCAGGTCCAGAACTGCCAACTTAAGAACAACAAGGAAAGACACCCCACATCAGGAGAGGGTTCAGCTCTCACTTCACATGAGTACCAAAAGTATCTGTAGCATTTTTGTTGTTAGAAACAACACATCATAATTAAATATAAAAGTCAAAACGTTGCCACTGTGTTCCTCCTCTGTCTTTGTCCTCATTTTTATCGTATGCCTTGGCACAAACTTTGTGGTGTCTGCTTTTTATATTTTCCTAATTTATTTACTCTTGATTCTTCAAGATTATCTGATCTCGTAGGGAGCTCTCTCTCTCCTTTTTTACTTTCTGCTTTTTTTCTCACCCCCATCCCCATTTCATCTCTATACCTGTCTTTTTTTCAACAGTAATTTCTTTTCTTCCATTGCTACCTACACCTTTTCCCTCCATCACCTTTGAATTGAGATCACAGCTGGGATCACACCCACTGCAAGCCCAGGGGAAGTGGGGAACCTTTGAAGACAGCAGGGAAGCTGGCACTCATGGGTCGCGGGTGACAGGCAGCAATAGCCTCCCTCCACACAACATCGCAGCAGGCGCCTCTGGCACATCCGGGGTGAGCTGTGTCAGAGCACTGCTCCATTCCCGTGGAGCAGACACGTTATTATGAAAGTGGAAAACATGACTGATAAAGGCCGGTTTACACGATGACTAACACAGCTAACCAACAAGAGAGACGTCAAAGAGTACTCAACTCAGACCAGGGTGTCGGTGCCAAGGAGGGGATTATTCTGGATGAAGTTCAACAATAGTGACAGGAGCAATGGGAGGTGAAGATGGGGAAGGTGCAGACTAAATACTGGCTGGGGAAAAAAGTTTTCTGTCAGTGAGAATTGGCGGAAATCTTTATACTTGGGACTTGCTTTAGTAAGAGATGTGGAGCAGTGCTCCTCTGTCCAGGGTCTGTGCACCACTGGTGGCCTGCAGACAGACTGCCGAACAGTTACAGGATACCCAAACCCCCAAAAGGAAGAAGGCACGAGAAACCCAACACTAAACACACCCATACAGCAGGTAGGCAAAACCGATACAGGAAAAATAAGAGTAATACACGGCTATTCCCAACTGAACCAAATTTTACGTGATAGTAAATGTAAATAATTGTGCCAATGCTGTACAAGACAGCCCCCCGATGGTTTTCAGTGAGGGCAGGGGGTCCTTGCACTGTAAGAGGTGCTGACACAGAGGGCAGCTGAGGATCACTGCAGGAAAAAAATAAACCACAAGAACAGATGAACCATAAAATAGTTTCTTATTCAGATTCCTTTGGTCCTTATGATTTTGGAGAGATAAGACGACAAAGGACCTTCTTCTCTGTTTTTCTTTCGTTCTTTCTAAACGAAACAGAAGACAACAGAAGCACCAAAAGAGGGGCATGGTGAGGAGAAA